CCTCATCATCATCCTCATCCTCCTAATCATCATCTTCCTCGTCATCATTATCCTCATCATCATTCTCATCATCACAATCATCGTTGTAGACATCATCATACTCATCATCATACTCATCTTCATCCTCATCATCAACTTCATCGTCATCCTCATCATCATCCTCATCATCATCGTCATCATCATCCTCATCATCATCCTCATCGTGAGACTCATCATCATCCTCATCATCCTCATCATCATCATCATCATATCATCATCAACCTCATCATCCTCATCATCATCATCCTCATCAGCGTCACCATCATCACCATCATCATCCTCATCATCATCCTCATCATCATCCACATCATCATCATCATCATCATCCTCGTCATCATCCTGANCTAAACAACATCCACATCATCATCCTCATTAATACCCTCATCAACATCCTCATCTTCCTATCATCACCACCCTCATCATCCACGTGATCATCATCCTAATCATCATCCTCATCATCAGCCTCATCATCCTAGTCCTCGTCATCACCAACATCATTCTCATCCTCATCGACATATTCATCATCATCATCCAAATCATCATGCTAATCATGGTCATCGGCCTCATCATCGTCCTAATAATCATCCTCGTCATCATCCACATCATCATCCTCATCATCACCCTAAACATCTTCAACATCATCATCCTCATTGTCATTATCACCATCACCCTGATCATCAACCTCATCATCATCCTCATCCTCATTCTGATCATGATCCTCATCATCATCATCATCCTCATCATCGTACTCATCTTCATCCTCATCATCAACCTCATCTTCATCTTCATCATCATCCTCAACATCATACACATCATCATCCTCATCATCTCCCTCATCATCATTCTCCTCATCGTCCTCGACATCATCCTCATCATCATCATCCTCATCATCCCCATCATCATGCTCATCATCATCATATCATCATCAACCTCATCATCATCCTCATCATCATCATCCTCATCATCCTCGACATCATTATCCTCATCATCATACTCATCATCACAAACATCGTCGTAGACATCATCATCCTCATCATCATACTCATCCTCATCCTCATCAACAACCTCGTCATCATCCTCATCATCATCCTCACCTTCAGACTCATCATCATCCTCATCAACATCCTCATCTTCCTATCATCACCACCGTCATCATCAACCTGATCATCATGCTATTCATCATCCTTATCATCAGCCTCATCATTCTAATCCTCGTCATCACATCATCATTCTCATCCTTGTCAACTTACTCATCCTCATCTTCATCCACATCATCATGCTTATCATCATCATCGGCCTCGTCATCGTGCTCATCAGCATCCTCATCATCATCCTCATCAGCATCCTCATCAGCATCCTCATCATCATCATCCTCATCATCATCCTCATCCTCATCCTCTTCATCATCCTCATCATCAGCCTCATCATCATCATCATCATATCATCATCAACCTCATCATCATCCTCATCATCATCCTCATCATCAACCTCATCATCATCCTCATCATCACACTCATCGTCATACTCATCATCATCCTCATCATCATACTCATCCTTATCCTCAACATCAACCTCATCGTCATCGTCATCATCATCCTCAACATCATCCTCATCATCATCCTCATTATCATCCTCATCATCATCCTCATCATCATCCTCATCGTCAGACTCATCATCATGCTCATCATCATCCGCATCATCATAATTATCATCATCATCATCGTCCTCGTCATCATCCTCATCATCATCATCCTCATCATCCTCATCATCATCACCATCATATCATCACCAACCTCATCATCATCCTCATCATCATCATCCTCATCATCGTCACCATCATCCACATCATCATCATCATGATCATCATCCTCGTCATCATCCTGATCTTCATCTTCAAAATCATCCTCATCTTCATCCTTATCAACATCCACATCATCATCCTCATCATCATCCTCATCATCATCCTCATCAGCATCCTAATCATCATCCTCATCATCATCCTCATCATCATCCTCATCATCAACATTATCATCATACTCATCAGCATCCTAATCATCATCCTCATCATCATCCTCAACATCATCCTCAGCATCATCATCATCATCATCCTCATCATCATCCACATCGTCATCCTCATCATCATCCTCATCATCATCCTTATCATCATCCTCATCATCAGCCTCATCATCATATTCATCATCATCCTCATCATCATCCTCATGATCACCCTCATGGACATCGTAATCATCATCCTCATCATCATCCTCATCATTATCCTCATCATCATCCTCATCATCATCCTCATCATCATCCTCATCAACTTCATCATCCACATCCTCATCAACATCCTCATCATCGGCCTCAATATCATACTCATCATCATCCTCATCATCACCCTCATCGTCATCGACATCATCATCCTCATCATCATCCTCATCATCATCCTCATCCTCCTAATCATCATCTTCCTCGTCATCATTATCCTCATCATCATTCTCATCATCACAATCAACGTTTGAGACATCATCATACTCATCATCATACTCATCCTCATCCTCATCATCAACTTCATCCTCATCCTCATCATCATCCTCATCATCATCTTCACCATCATCCTCATCATCATCCTCATCATCATCCTCATCGTGAGACTCATCATCATCCTTATCATCATCCGTATCATCATCATCATCATCATCATCATCATCGTCCTCGTCATCATCCTCATCATCATCATCCTCATCATCCTCATCATCATCATCATCATATCATCATCAACCTCATCATCATCCTCATCATCATCATCCTCATCAGCGTCACCATGATCATCATCATCATCCTCATCATCATCCTCATCATCATCCACATCATCATCAACATCATCATCCTCGTCATCATCCTGATCGTCATCTTCAAAATCATCCTCGTCTTCATCCTAAACAACATCCACATCATCATCCTCATTATTACCCTCATCAACATCCTCATCTTCCTTTCAACACCACCCTCATCATCCACGTGATCATCATCCTAATCATCATCCTCATCATCAGCCTCATCATCCTAGTCCTCGTCATCACCAACATCATTCTCATCCTCATCGACATATTCATCATCATCAACCAAATCATCATGCTAATTATGATCATCGGCCTCATCATCGTCCTAATAATCATCCTCATCATCATCCACATCATCATCCTCATCATCATCCTCAACATCTTCAACATCATCATCCTCATTTTCATTATCACCATCACCCTGATCATCCACACCATCATCATCCTCATCCTCATCCTCATCATCAGCCTCATCATCCTATTCCTCGTCATCCTCATCATCATTCTCAACCTCATCCTCATCCCCATCATCATCCTCATCATCATCCTCATCAGCATCCTCATCATCATCATCCTCATCATCATCCTCATCATCATCCTCATCATCATCCTCATCAACATCCTCATCATCATCGTCATCATCATACTCATCATCGTACCCGTCATCATCCTCATCCTTATCCTCATCATCATCCTCATCATTATCATCCTCACCATCATCCATATCATCATCATCATCATCCTCAACATCATCCTCATCATCATCCTCATCATCATCTCATCGTCATCCACATCGTCATCCTCATCATCATACTCATCATCATCCTCATCCAAAGGCACATCATCATCTTCATCATCATCCTCATCATCATCCTCATCATCATCCTCATCGTCATCCTCATCATCATCCTCCTCCACATCATCATTCACATCATTGTCCGCATCCTCATCTTCATCATCATCCTCATCATCATCCTCATCATCATCATGCTCATCATCATCCACATTATCAATCTCATTGTTATACCCATCATCATCCTCAAATTCATTTTCATTTTCACCCTCATCATCAAGCTCATCATCATCCTCATCATCATTGTCAGCATCAGCCTCATCCTCCAATTCCTCTTCATCACCATAATCGTTCTCATTTTCATCCTCATATTCATCCTTATCATCATCCTCATGCTCTCCTCATCATCATCCTCATCATCAGCCTCATCATCATCCTCATCAACATCCTCATCCATGTCCTCATCACCATCATCATCATCATCCCCATCATCAGGCTCATCATCATCCTCATCATAATCCTCATCATCATTCTCATTATTATCTTCATCATCATCCTCATCTTCATTATCACGATCACCCTCATCATCAACCTCTTCATCATCCTAATCATCACCCTCAACATCAGACTCATGCTCCTGTTCCTCGTGATCACCATCATCATTCTCATCCTCATCATCGTCCGCATCATCCTGCTAATCATCATCATCGGCCTCATCATCAACCTCATCATCATCCACATCATCATCATCATGATCATCCTCATCATCATCCTCATCATCATGCTCAACATCGTCCTCATCATCATCCACATCGTCATCCTCATCACCAACCTCATCATCATCCTCATCATCATCCTCATCATCATCCTCATCATCATCCTCATCAATATACACATCAACATACTCATCATCATCCACATAATCCTCATCATCATCCTCATCATCATCCTCATCATCAGCCTCATCATCAGCCTCATCATCATCCTCATCATCATCCTCATCATCATTCTCATCATCATTCTCATAATCATTCTGATCATCATCCTGATCATCATCCTCCTCATGGTTGTCATCATCACCCTCATCATCATCCTCATCATCACCCTCATCATCAACCACATCATCATCCTCATCATAATCCTCAACATCAGCCTCATCCTCCTATTCCTCGTCATCACCATCATCATTGTCATCCTCATCCTCATACTCACCCTCATTCTCATCCTCATCCTCTTCATCATCCTCATCATCAGCCTCATCATCATCCTCATCATCACTCTCATTATTTTCTTCCTCATCATCCTCATTTTCATCATCATCATCACCCTCATAATCAACCTCACCATCATCCTCATCATCATCCTCAACATCATCATCATCCTCCTATGCCTCGTCATCACCATCATCATTCTCATCCTCATCTTCATACTCATCCTCATCATCATCCTCATCCTCATCCTCTTCATCATCCTCATCGTCAGCCTAATCATCATCCTCATCATCATCCTCATCATCATCCTCATCATCATCCTCATCATCATCCTCATCATCATCCTCATCATCATCCTCATCATCATCCTCATCATCATCCTCATCATCATCCTCATCATCATCCTCATCATCATCCTCATCATCATCNCCTCATTATGATTCTCAGCATCATTCTCATAATCATTCTGATCATCATCCTGATCATCATCCCCATCATCATCCGCATCATCGTGCTCTTCATCATAATCATCATCATCCTGATCATCATCCTCATCATCACCCTCATCAACATCATCATCATCAGCCTCATGATCATTCACATCATCATCCTCGTCATCATCCTTATCATCATCCTCATCATCATCCTCATTATGAATCTCATCATCATTCTCATCATCATACTGATCATTATCCTCATCATCATGCTCATCATCGTTATCATCATCACCCTCATTATCATGCTCATCATCATCCTCATCATCATCCGCAGCATCGTCCTCATCATCATCCTCTGCATCATCCTCNNNATCATCGTTATAATCATGCTCATCGTCATCCCCATCATCATTCTCATTATTATCCTCATCATCAAACTCATCATCTTCCTCATCATCATCCTAATCAGGAACCTCATCTTCATCCCCATCATCATCCATATCATCATCCTCATCTTCTTCCTTATCATCATCTTCATCATCATCCGCATCATCATCCTCATAAACATCCACATCATCATTCTCACAATTATGCTCCCCATCATCCTCTTCATCATCCTCATCATCATCCTCATCATCATCCTCATCATCATCCTCATTATAATCCCCATCATTGTCCTCATTATAATCCCCGTCATCATCCACATCATCATCCTCATCATCATTCTCGTCATTATCCTCATCATCATCCTCATCATCATCCTCATCATCATCCTCATCAGCGTCCTCATCGTCATCCTCAACATTATCCTCATCATCATCCTAATCATCATCCTCATCATCATCATCATCCTCATCATAATCCGCATCATCATCCCTATCATCATCCACATCATCATCCTCATCATCATCCTCATCATCATCCTCATCATCATCCTCATCAACGTCCTCATCATCAGCCTCATGATCATCGTCATGATCATCCTCATAATCCTCATCATCACCCTCATCATCATCTTCATCAGCAAGCTCGTCATCATCTTCATCGTCATCCTCATCATCATCCTCATCATCATCTTCATACTCANCTCATCCTCATCATCATCCCCATCATCATCCTCATCATCATCCTCATCATCATGATCATCATCAACCTGATCATCATCCTCATCATCATCCTCATCAACATCATCATCATCAGCCTCATGATCATTCTCATTATAATCCTCGTCATCATCCTTATCATCATCCTCATCATCATCCTCATTATGATTCTCATCATCATTCTCATCATCATCCTGATCATTATCCTCATCATCATACTCATGATCGTTATCATCATCACCCTCATTATCATCCTCATCATCATCCGCAGCATCGTCCTCATCATCATCCTCAGCATCATCCTCATCTTCATCGTTATAATCATGCTCATCGTCAACCTCATCATCATTCTCATTAATATCCTCATCATCAACCTCATCATATTCCTCATCATCATCCTAATCAGGAACGTCATCTTCATCCCCATCATCATCCATATCATCATCCTCATCTTCATCCTCATCATCATCCTCATCGTCATCCACATCATCGGGCGCATCATGGTCCTCAGGATCATCCTCATCCTCATCCCGTTCATCGTCCTCATCATCACGTCCCAAATCAACCTTATCATCATCCTCATCAACATCCGCATCATCATCCTCATAAACATCCACATCATCATTCTCACAATTATGCTCCCCATCATCCTCACCATCATCCTCATCATCATCCTCATCATCATCATCATCATCATCCTCATCCTCATCATCATCCTCATCGTCATCATCCTCATCATCATCATTATCATCCACATCATCATCCTCATCATCATCATCATCCTCATCATCACCCTCATCGTCATTGTAATCATCATCCTCATCACCATCCTCATCATCATTATCATCATCATCCTCATCATCATCATCATCATCATCATCATCCTCATCATCGTAGTCATCATCATCCTCATCATCATACTCATCATACTCCTCATCATCATCCTCATCCACAGGCTCATCATCATCCTCATCATCATCCTCATCTTCATCCTCATCATCATCCTGATCACAATCCTCATCATCATCCTCATCATCATCCTGATCATCATACTCTTCATCATCCTCATCATCATCGTCCTCTACATCCTCATCATCATCCTCATCATCATCCTCATCCTCATCTTCATCGTCATTCTCATCATCATCCACATCCTCATCCGCATCATCGTCCTCGTCATCATCAACATCCACATTATCAGCCTCATAATCATCCTCATCATCATCCTCATCATCATCCTAATCCTCATCCTAAACATCATCCTAAACTTCAGCATCATTCGCACATTACTCGTAATCACCGTCATCATTCTCGTCCTCATCCTCATACTCATCGTAATCAGCATCCTCATCCTCATCCTCATCATCATCCTCATCATCCGCCTCATCATCATCCTCATCCTCATCCTCATCAACATCATCATACTCGTCATCATCCTCTTCCTCATCCACATCATCATCCTCATCACCTTACACATCAGCATCCTCATCATCATCCCCATCATCATCCTCATCATGATACTCATCTTCATCCTCATCATCATCCTCATCATCATTCACATTATTATCCTCATCATCAACTTCATCATCATCCTCATCATCATCCTCAACATCAGCCTCATCCTCCTATTCTTCCTCATCACCATCATCATTCTCATCCTCATTCTCATCCTCATCCTCATCATCAGCCTCTTCATTATCCTCATCATCATCCTCATCATGCTCATCATCACCCTCATCGTCTTCGTCATCATCATCCTCATCATCATATTCCTCATCATCCTCATTCTCTTCCTCATCATCATCCTCATCATTAACCTCATC